AATGCTTTTTTCGTTAAGCCTTTAGGGCATATTGTGCTGGCTGCAGTTGGGTCCATTGAACCCCATGTGTTATCGAGTAGAATTGTTCTATGGGGTGGTTTTCTTTTTTCTTTTTGGCTTTAATCTTGATAGAGCCAGATTACCACACCCTTCTTCCATGGTGTCACTGGGTGTGTGCCAGCTGCCAGCCTTTCTTTCTGTCAGCATTTGCGTATAGACTGTTTGCATCACATAAGGATGTTAGGACATACATTTCATAGGTAAATAATGACTTAAAAATAAATTAAATTGCTGTAGAACAGGATTATCAAACGTTTCATGTAAAGAGCTAGACAGTAAATATTTTAGGCTTGTTGAGCCATATGGTTTCTATGACTGCTACTGAACTCTGCTGGTGTAGTGCGAAAGTAGCCACAGATAACATATACATCAGTGAATCAGCATTGTTGTGTTACAGTTACACTGTATATATGGACTGCAATTTGAATTTCATATGCTTTTCTCAAGTCACAATATTATTCTCTGTTTGATGTGTTTAAGCCATTTAAAAATGTAAACAAACAAACAAAATACCCTAAAATTCTTTTGTTACTGAGCATATGAAATGAGTGGTCCATAGTTTTCTGACTTCTGATTTGAATGTTAATAATTGTTCATATCTTAGTCCACTTTCTAAGCACCCCAGGGCATGGTGGGGTTGTGAGAATAATGTGTTTGTAGTAATACATATTGTATAAAATAAAAAGCATTTAAAATATATCTTTTTAAAAGATGAAGTTCAGTCTGCTTTTTCATTTCTTATTATTAACTTACAACAAATAAAGACATTTTTAATCTAATTCATTTTAGATACCATGAGGATTTACCACTCTTTCTGCGATGTTTTACCGTTGGGTGGATTTATACAAGAATTTTGTCTCGAAATGTAGAAATACTGGAGAGACTTCACATGTATGAGGTAGGAGCACATCTTCTACCTCCTACCTCTCACTGTGTCAGTGCAAAGCCTGTGAAGGGACCCAGCCTGGGACTCAAGACGCCCGGGGTATTTGGTCAACCTGCAGTAATATACCAGAAATATGCTTAATTTAGGCAATTTTGCTGTCTCCTGTAAATAGTGAAGAAGTGGGCTGACAACAGGTAACTGTTGTACTTGTTCATGAGTTGATGAAGACATGTTCAGGGTGGCCCAGATGTCATAGATAGAGATCCACAATCCTGAGTTTGTGCCTTTTTTGGGTTTTGGTGGGTAACTTGGAAGACTTCCAAAAGTATCTGAGATGGAAATATCACATCTACTTATTTTTCTCTGACAGCTATCATGGATCGTCTAGAAGTAGTTGACAAGCAGAAACCAGGAATTTGATTGTGTCCTTATACTAAATATTGAGATATTACTAGAGTTCACATGTTTGCTGTTTCCATATTACAGACTGTTTTACAAAAGGGATATGTAGAGGTGTGATTCTTGATCCAAAGTCTATAATCAGTGTGATGGCCTTAGGGAGATCTTTGAACTCCTCAAATTGTATGTATTCATGGCTTGTGCATTATTCTGTGATGAATCCTGTTGTTTCAGAATGATATATGATCCACAGGGGAACAAACTAAATAGTTTGTGTGGGAATCACTAGGGATCTCCCTGCTGTAGTGGAGTGATTGGTTTGAGACAAACAGAAGCTATAACCTGGGTTCCCAGAAATCTGTGTCATTACTCCATTCATTGAGGTCTGCTGCCTGCAACTTGGCCCTATGAGTCTGTGGTGAATGAATCAGCTGCCAGGAGAATATTGTGCAGTGTTTATTTACCAATTGGCATGTACCTTAGAAGTACTTCACACAGCCTCTGCCCTAACAATCCTGGTCCTCAACCTTACTTTTAAGATGGAAAGATTGACAATATAATAAATATAATTTGCTAATTTCATTGGATTCTAGGCATAGCCACACTTATTTTTTTGTGTGAATTTAATGAGCTTTCTTTGTTACTTGTTATAATAGGATGCAGTCAAGGAACTTGAGAACCTTTTGTCTCAGAAGATTTATTGTCCTGAGAGCAGAGGCCGATGGTGGGATAGGCTGGCCCTTAATTTACACAAGCATCTGAAGCATCTGGAGCTGGTAAAATATGGGAAAGTTGAATATATTTAACTTTCAGATTCAATAAAAATCTAAATGTAATAAGGACATTCTGTTCTTTGGTTTTACTCTTCCAGCCAATCCTGTTTTATGTTGAGCTCTCGAGAGGAGTGAAACCTGTGTTGTTGTTGTTGTTAGGTGCCCTTGAGTTGTTCCCCCTCACAATGACATGACCCTCTGTGCAGCCGAGTGAAACATGGCCCAGTCCTGTGGCACCCTCACGATTGTTCTTATGCGTCAGTCCATTGTTGCAGCCCACGTGTCAACCCATCTTGTTGAGAGTCTTCCTCATTTTTGCTCCTCTACCAAGTATGATGCCCTTTTCCAGAACTGGCATGTATGATGTCCTTTTATAGGGACTGAAGTGCATATGCAAATATATATGCATAAATTATTTCAAGGAAATAGCTTACAATTAATTATACAAACCCCAAGTCTTTGGGTCAGGTAGCAGGTTGAAGGCTTCTCATGTTCTAAGATCTGGCAGTCAGAGGAGAATGAGACAAATCAAAATGGAGAGAGAGTGAGTTTCTCTAGAAGTCTTGTCTCATTAAAGTGGGCCACTCATCGGATACTCCTCTTCTAACTGGTTGGCTGCTCACATCGAATGATAAAATGGAAGGTGATACATGGCATCTGCAGACCACTGAGAATGCTAGCCCAGCGAGCTTCATACACAACATCCATCATCACAGAGCCCAAAAGAAGTCACGGGGCCACAATAAAACATTAACGAAAAGGTGTGACATTTGTTTCTTTTTACTAGTATGGCAAATTTTTGGCCATAGCAGTAGGATTTAGGATTAGGAGTTGTGTGTGGATTTAGGAGTCAGGACCTAGAAGGGAGAGTCACTGTCACCCCCTCAACAGATGTCTTCAGGAAGGTGCTTTTTGATTTAGAAATGGTGATTTAATTCATTTGTTTCACAAGACCTCAGGTGGAAACATTGGTGAATAAAACGTTCCTTTCCTAGTCGAGCTTTTTCCGTTCATGAAGTGCCTTGCTCAGCCACTGGAGCTGTGCAGTGTAAGTAACCTGGATCAGACAGCGTAGCTGTGGGTGGAGGACCTTGAGGGTGTGCTGTGGGCTCAGTGTGGGCAGCCTGCAAGAGCCAACACCTGCAACCAGACATATGGGTGAAAGAAGAAACTGCCCCTCTGGGAATATTGTTTTCCTCGTGGAAGATGAAGTGAGTTTGGGTAATGTAGGGTTGGAAACATGAACGTGAAATTTGGAACTAGGATATGCTGCATGTTCTGCTTTATCCCGAAAAAGCGCCTTGTTACCTCAGGTGCTTCAAGCCCAGAACTCTTGTTTTCTCACCTGGAGGTGGTTGGGGTGTTGTCACAGCTAGGTGTTGATTTAGGCTTCAATAGTCAGAGAAAGCATCTGTTAGCCTTTAACCAGATATTGGAAAGTCTGTTTTGTATTTCTTCTTTTTTCCATCAAAGATTCAAAAGATTTTACGTTCTTTACCCTGAATTCACAATTCAGTTAATCGGAACATTAACTTACCGGTATGTGCGCATAGTGGTAGATCAGCTACTGAGCCTTTGAGATTGACGCAAAACTCTTTTCATTCCTTTCAACCTTCTCCTGATATCTGGAAGGCTATACTCATTCTAGTCCTTATTTGCTGCCATTGCATGTTCTTTACCTCAGTCTGCTGTAGAGGAGACAGAAGCAGAGCTGGCCTGGATGTTTCTTCCTCATCAATTAAAGAAAACTTGGTACTCTTTGTCTTAACTTCCCCTCTTTCCTCTTCTGGTAGCCTCTAATTTCACTGCCTGAATACATTTCCTATTCTATCTATGCTATGAAAGTGGAATCCTAGAGTATTTGTCCTTTTTGTTTGGTTCTTTCACTCAGCATGATATTTTTAAGGTTCATTCATGCCAAGGCATGTGCCAGGGCTTCATTTCTCTTTATGGCTGAGTAATATTATCTGTCTACTACATTTGTCCATTCATCTGCTTATGGACACTTGGATGGTTGCCACACTTTGGCTATTATAAATAGTGTTCCATTGGACAGTAGTGCAGAAGTGTCTGTTAGATCTTTTGGGTATATATCCAGGCACTTATTGTCTTAAAAGCTCCATGGAGGCAGACATTTTTCTCGTTAAGTCTCTTGCAGGCTGTAGTCCAGGGGTTTCCATGATTTTCAAGCTCCGTGTGAGGATATGAAAGTAGCGGTTTCTGTGTTCCATATGGGTAACAGGGAGCGCGTACAGGACCATAACTGGTTGGCCTCCATTTGCAGTGAGGTATGCTGTCTTGGTTCTCTAGTGCTGTCATTACAGAGGTACCCTAAGTGGGTGGCTGTAACAGAACCCATTCATTTTCACATAAGAGACGAGAAGTCTCAATTCACGGCACTGACTTTAGGAGAGGGCTTTTTGTTTCCCTTGGCTCTGGGGAAGGTCCTTGTCTCTAGCTTCTGTCCCTTGGTGATCTTCACATGACATGGCAGGTGCCTTCCCCTATCTCTGTTTATTCACTTCCTCGAATCTCTTTTATGTCTCAAAAGAGATTGATTGAAATCTACCCTCCAGTGGATTTGGTTTTGGTTTTGGCTTACACTAATACCATCTCTTTAAGATAACAAAGAGGATTCATTCAAAAATGGAATTATGACCACAAGGTTAGGATCTATAGGGGGACATAGTTCAAACCACGACAAGTGATATTAGGCTGTGCATCATCAAGGTCGGATTTAAGGAAATAGCCTTGATTTCTAGACATGCTGGTTTGCTCATTTGCTAATCAGCAAAGCCGGATAATTAGTTTGACTGAGTTTTACAGTCAGCCTAAATGAATGAGGCACTACTACAGGGCTGCTTAGGGTCCTGACGTGGGCTCGTGTCGTTTGTAGGCTATTAAGTGCATCAGAGAAGGGCTGCAAGACCCAGATGTAAGAACAGGACATCGGCTATCACTTTACCAGAGAGCTGTGCGACTGAGAGAGTCTCCAGGTTGTAAAAAGTACAGACACCTTTTCCAGAAACTGCCAGCAATCCATGTGGGAGATGTGAAACATGTAAGTAAATATCCTCTGGGGACTTTGGATTTAAGTGCATTGACTTGGCTTTCTTTCTTCTCACTGTGAGCAACACAAAGCTAATCTCCAGAGCAAATTTTCGGTTCACTGTTTTCATTCTGATACCTTCCTAACCGATAAGCCTGGGTTTGTTGCTTGATTCTCACCCTGGATTAGAGTGACTTTCTGTAAAACCTTAAAGGATGAACATTGTAGCGCCAGCTAAGTCCATCTGACTAGTAAGTAGCTGAGAGCACAGACTCCAGTTGTCTCGTGCTCTGCTTGATGTTTGAGTGTGTGGACCCCACACTGCACGTCCTGCTGAGAGTGGGTAGCTTTAGGTAAGTTTAGAAAAGTCGATCATGAAGAAACAAACACCTGCTTTTCAGGGACTGTAACTGATGTTTGGATAATTGGTATTCTTTTGATATTTCAGGTAACCATCACTGGCAAGGTATGCCCACAGAGTGGGCCTGGGAAGTCCACGTTTGTGATGGAGGTTGAAGAGGCTGGAGTCCCCACTACCGTGCTGTGTTCAGTGGAGGAGCTGGCATTGGCCCATTACAGATGTGATGGCTTTGATCAGGGTAAGCAACAACATTTTACCCTCCCACCCAGCCACCCAGTGGTCAGCAGCATTGCAGAATAGCCAGTCAAAATGAATGGCTGATATTTCCTAGTCCTCTGCCCATAGTAGAAGATATTGCCGGCCTAGAGGGTGTGGAAGAATTTTACTAACTATGGTTTTAAAGGCTGCTTCTTCCACTTACTCATTGTTTACCTGCTATTGCCTGCAATGAACTGTGTTCTGTGTGAGATGCTAGACATGGCTAAGAGTTCTGTTCTCAGAAGACTATGCAGAGCAGGGGCACATAGGGAAGACAGAGGAGCTGACTGTTGTTAGACTTCCTGGGGAAACAGACTGGGCAAGAGAACACCAGACTATTTGTGATTGGAGTGAATAGGCTGAGATCCAGGCTTATGCTTTGAGCTGCTGACCACAAGATCACCAGTTCAGAACCACCGCTCGCTCCTCAGGAGACAAATGCACTTGTAAAGATTTAGTCTCCAAACCCCAAAAAGGCAGTTCTATTCTGTCCTAGAGGGCTGCTCTGAGTCAAAATTAACTCTATGACTGTGGGATTGGGTTTGGTTTATAAGATGACTGTCACCAGATAGGATTTGAAAAAAAGATTTTTATGAGTATTGTAGATAAAGATGATGCCTAATCTACATAATATTTTATTACAGGGAATGAGTAAAGATTTTAGGGAAGAAATGTAAATACCAGAAGACAGAAAAATGCAATAGAACAGGAAAGGTTAGTGATACAAGAATGGAATGAAAGTTTCAGTCTCCTAGGAAGTTGTAGGGACCATGGAAAAGGCACAGTTACTGTGGAAGTGACGAGGTCTAGGGCGCTGGAACTGACTGTCATATTGTGGTCAGAATGTGATTGGACAGATCAGACAAATGGTCAAAGAAATGTTTGTAGTTAGCTATGAATTTGGAAAACAGATGGGCAGTTCTATTTCCACAATATCTCAGAGTTCTAGACCACTGTAATAAGGTAAGTGTTGTAGTAAAGTGAGTCATACGACTCTTGGTTTCCCAGTACATATAAAAGTTAGTCTGGTAATGTATTAAGTATGCAATGTCATTATGAAAAGCTCTGAAATATTGTGAGAATTACCAAAATGGAATACAGAGACTAAGAAGTGCATTTGCTGTTAGAAAAGTGGCACTAATAGACTTGCTTGATATGCCTGTAGAGTGTTTTTCCATTTGTTCAAGTTAATACAATGGAAATGAGCTACGCTCTGCCATCCTCCTTTGTTCTTTAGGGAGAGTTGTAAGAAGACAGTCTTAGACCACTGCAGGGAATTGGATCTCTGAACGCCACAGAAGCATCCCACTTAAAAGAATTTCACTTCTAATCCCAGCTCATGATGGACCACTGAGGAGTGCAGGAATGGTTTTTTTCCAGCTGGAGCCCTGACTTTCATGTTCACCCAAGGGCAGAAAGCATTTTGTAAACCAAGTCCCAGCATTACTACTAGGGTTCAGCTAGCCAAGAAGGCAATCTCCCGGCATAAAGCTTTGTAGCAAAAGAGGAATTGACTTTAGGCAGAAGGCTTGCTGAGTACTGTTCCTGCGACAGTTCTTTGGAGTGGAGATCTGCTGCAATGTGGAAGGGCTGCAGCTGTTTATTCACCAGTGTTCCGTTCTTGATCTGGAGCAATTGAGCCTGATTAGTAACTACTACAAGCTGAAAAGAGATATGAATTGAATTTTAGTAGAGGTTAGGTCTGGTGGCGCTCTCTAGCAACTTGTGTATTTGGCAAGTGCCCCCTCATTTACAGTTTTTCACTATATATTTATACTTCTCCTTTCTATAAAAGCAGGTGTGCTGTAATTCTAGCAGTACCTGAAAGGT